GGAACAAAACCTAAATAACACGATTACAATATAAATTGTAAAATCAAATACAATATAATGTATTACAATCAAGTATTTAAAATGTCAAAGAAATTACTGGAAATTTACAAAGACTACACTGGTGTGAAGAATCAAACTTGCCTTTTCTACAAGCCGACAACATCAAGCATGAACATGAGGATACCGGTGACCATTGAGTCTCAATCCTTGATACAGTGTCAAAGGCATGTATACACTTTCCTAAAGAGGTTTATTTCCCCCACACATTGCTTGGGTTAAACTGGAAATCCTCTTTGAGATACAATTGACAGCAATTTCGTTCTTAGTACTAGAATCGAAATACAGATGACAAATTCACAAAGATTGATTTAATTGAAAGAGTTTAGATGAAGAGATTGCAAGTTTCTTCAAATAAAGTTAGAGAAAACAAGGGAAAAACCAGAGAGCCAAAATCAGAATCTACATTTCTTCTTTTAATTTGGCAATTAAAAGAACAAACGAAACCGCAATTGTCAGGGCTGCGGGAGCGGCAACCAGGGTTGCGGGCGCGGCAACTAGGGCCGCGGGCGCGGACAGGGTGAATTCAGACTCACCCTCAGATTGGAGATGGCTAGCCATGCCCACGCCGCGGGCGCGGCACATAAGGCCGCGGGCGCGGCCTTCCGTGACATCCAACCGCGACCTCTCCTTATTAAGGAGAGGGCTCTCCTCTCATACACTCTAAATTATAACAAAGAGTGGCGTGCCACTCAATGCTGTATCTGGTTCTGCAGCGGCTAGGGGTGTCTAGACCCTACAGCTAAATCCTCAAGGTATGATTGCCTGCTTTGAACCCCTAGGGCCGCTTGGGCCTATACTAGTCAAATCTCAATTTGCACAGTCGGGAGATTCATCCAGCAGCCGGTACTCTTTAGGTGTCGCTTATGCTGCTATCTCACAACCTCCTTCTTGTAGTGCAGATGCCTCTCCAAGATGGCCATACCTCCAGCAATACTCCAAACGGATGCTGAGGTCCATCACCCGGTCTGAAAAGGAGCTAGTCCCCAGGTTGCATCAAGTCAACCTGGAACGCATCACCACCTTACTGGCTGAGGTAACTTGTCTTTGTTTTTTCAAATGCCACTTTTTATTAGAATGCCGGCTAATTTGTTTCTTTATCACCTATACCTTTGCAGGCAATGCTTAGGGTAGACGAGCTCAAGACTCCGTTTAACAAGAAGCAGGAGGAGGTAAGAGACGCCAACAACCGGGCGGTTAAAGCCCTTAACTCAGCTCAATATCGAATTACAATGCATGATGTTAAGTCTAAATCTAAGAAGATGAAACAGGAGGAGATTGTTAAGGAGTTGACGGCTGCCTTGGAGACGGCCAATAAGAAGCCGGTTTGGGCTTGGTTTAGTATTTTGGCCATAATTTATTCGTTATAACTCGAATTTGGGCTTATAATATATCGTTGGAAATCTCTTCTCAAACCCCATCCAACTACACAATTATTGGACCATAATTATGGACCAAAATAATCAGTTTTGGACGTTTTATAAAGAGGACACAAAATGAATGATTTTCAAAGACACGAAATGAATGATTTTGAGTTTAAAGACACGAAATAAATGATTTTGGCTTAAAACTCTTTAGGAAAGTTAGAAAGGGTTAAGGCTAAAGAAAATTCACGAGACTCTACAACTAAAGACGTGAAAGGTACTCATCACTGGGTTTGTTTTTTGGGGAGACACAATCAGGTGTCTACAGTGGGCTGCGCTGCTTTGCGGCTTTCTCAGGAATTGGGCCTTAAAGGCCGTCTTTTTCCCTTCTAATTAGGGATGCCACATGTCAACTGGTGATTGGTCCTTTTTGTACCTCTCCTAGGGTGACACGTGTCACCTTCTGATAGGGCCACGTGGCCTTGGTATTTTTACCCAAATCAACTTGTGTTTTTCATCTACGTTATTTCCTAATTCCTATACTTGTCTTATTATTAGTTACTCATAATATAAAATACGAGTATCTTTGTACCCTACTATTTCCTCTGATGTATTAGGAATTTCTCTTGTGAGGAGAGATTTCTAATGTTTTCTTTTTTCTTACCTATATATATATATATATATATATATATATATATATATATATATATATATATATATATGGGTTGAGTTCATTCAAGTTAAGTCATATTTGAGCAATGATATTTTGACTTCGAATTAGGTCATATAACTCATATTCACTATTCAGGGTTGGAGTCTTATAGTCTAAGTATTGGTTAGGTTAGATCCATCCGAGTTAGCTCAATCCCCACTATAATCCTAGTTAGTTTATTAAATATTTTTAGTTTTAGCCATAGTTGATTTTGGGGAAGGTTTAGATTGGGTCAAGGGCCAATATTGTATCATTTAACTTTCGAGTTTGATTCAACAATGGATCAAATCAATTTCAATTTGTGTCAGTTTTGGATCATTAATTTCATGTATTTGGGCCAACTCAATTCGGGTTGGGTTTGAGTATTTCAGGAAGACAATGCAACAAAAGGAAATAAATCAAGAGTCAATCTATATCCCTTACCTTTTAAAAAGTTTGAGATAACTCTTATGAATAATGTTTCAACAAATATACTCTTTAAAATGTTTATTATTTATTTGGTTCCATTAATGTTAATTGTCTTTTTTCAACTCTTATAAGATTCAGCGCGTTTTCTGTAAGGTTGGCCACACTGTGTGGCCGGTAACACATACCAAAATACTGACCGGGTTACTCCTAATTGATCGAGTAAATCCTTGACCAATTAATCCTGACCGACTGAGTAACCCTTGATCGAGTGAGCCGTGACTGGCCGAGTATGGTAACCCCTAACCAAGTAACCCCCGACTGAGTAACCCCTAACCAACCGAGAAACTCCTGAGTAAGTAACTCGACCACATGGTGTAGTCAGCCACATATGAAACTTTGTGTATAAGAATAGTGTACAAACATTTACACTAAAAAAGAATTTGTTTACACATTTTCCCTCATTAATGATGCCAATAAAAAAATTTGTGACATAAAATCAAACTGAAAGAGTTTTCCGGACATGACTAGTTATGGCTAGACCTGGCAAATGGGTCATTCGGGTCGGGTATGGGTCAGGTCAATTTCGGGTCGGGTCATTTTGAGTCGGTTAACATTCGGGTTGGGTATGGGTCGGGTTGGGTCATTTCGGGTTTGGTTTCGGGTCGGGTCATTCGGGTAAGACCATTTTCGGGTCAAGTTTGTTCGGGTCATATACGGGTCGGGTCAAAATCAGGTCAGGTCATGTTCGGGCTGTTCCATTTGTGGATCAAGTTCAAATCAATAATTTTATATTTTGTTATTGTTATATTAAGAACTATCAAATTGGTTTATGAGCTTAGCTACGGTTGAAGATGAACAATTTGAGTTATTTTTAGTACCAGACATTTTAAGTTCAATTATAAAGTAATTTTAGTTCGGGACATTTCGGATATCGGGTATGTTCGAGTCAATTTCGGGTCGGGTCAGTTCGGGGTCGGGTCAGGATCGGGTCAACTCCATTTTTCGAGTCGTGTATGGATCGGGTCAATTTCGGATTTCAGATCGATGTTTTTGGGTCATGAATCGGGTCATTTGGGCCGAGTTATCGAGTTTGGATCAGAATTCGCATTGCGCTCATTAGTCGTCATGGTTTCCATAAAGTTTGGATCTTCAATTATAATATGGAATCAAATAAGTAAGGAGATCAAAAGAAAAAGGAAAAAAATCAATAAAGATTTGCTACTTAATGAAATGATATGTACACCATAAATGCATTGAGCAAAGAAAAAATAAACATAATTCATAAATGCATTTAATGGAATAATTCTTGGAATTCTTAAATTTAGGGTCACATTCTACTCCTATATAGTACTCCGTATTTAACTTTACTATTTCCTCTAACAAATTACTTTGAATCATCGATCCGAATTTGTGTTTCCCTATCATGAAGTTCAACCAGCAATTTCCTCTTCTATTTATCATTGTCATAGTCCTTGCTATTTCTTCAGGTAAGTTTAAGCAATTTCTTATTATAATTGTTGTCATTTGTTCCTTACTAATCAATTATTCCATCCTCATTTCATTCTTCTTTTCGCCGTTATATTAAGGCCGAGTTTGCTCAAAAGAAAGTAAAAAAGGAAAAAATAACTAATGTACATGTTTTTGTTGTTGTTGTTGTTACATACATGATCATGTAATTAATTAAGTTATATCAATACCTAATTAAATGACATGATTTAAATTTAAACTACAGGTGGAACAATAGCAGAAGAAAACGGTCATTTTGATCCATGGGGGCACTGTTTTGTGTATCCAGATTGCAATGAACAAGACTGCACAACTCAATGTGTAGCAAAGTGGCCATTATTGACTAAAGGCGGGTGTTTTCGAAAGTTGGAAAAGAAATAACAAGTGTTGTTGCTTCCCATAGCCAAAATGCTTTTCTGATAAATGTTGCTTAATAGTTAAATATATTAAAAGTTTGTTATATGGTAATCTAAAATTATGATCAATATATCTAATTATCAATATTGCACAATTTTAACGATTAATACTTGTAATTATCGATATTGTAAAATTATAAAAAATGGATATTAATAAACTTTACACTGAGACGATTCAAAAAAAATCCCACGTGATAATGTTTTATTATAGCTAATATTACTAAAGCTTGTCAAAGTGTAATTTGTAAATGATACAAAAGTCAAAGTGTGTCAACTAAAAAACGGAGGAAGTATAAGGGTATAAAATTAGCCTTTTAAAAACTATATATGAAAACACGTTACCACCTCTAACTTGAATCAACTTAAGATCATTTCTTTTCTTGACTGAGCATATGTGCATTTGATGTCAACCTTTTTTCTGTCATCCTAGATTCAAGTCACAAATAACATCAAATTCATGAAATTCCGTTCACATGAAAACGCATAGAATTTGGGTATTGAGTATGTGTAAAATTACACATTTACATCCACTTGCTTTAAAAAAAACACACCAAACATACTTGATTATTCATTTATTCATCATGAAAATGCAAGCATGAGAATACGAGGATTTTCAAGTTTTACACCCTGATCTAAGAAAGGAGTCGATTTTGTCCCTAACTATACCGCATAGTAATACATTAATACATGAAACCAGCAATATAATACATATAGTACGAAATGCAATCTAACATCTACCTAGTAATTCAGACAAACAAACCAATAAATTTTGCCAAATTATAGATTGATCAGGACTTATTTTTTCAGGCAACAAGTTGACGCGAAGATTGGCACCAGCGATCATATGATGGTCGAAGATTAGGCCAATCCGAGGAGCATATAGCAAAGTCTTGCAACCAATTTCTTAGCACGACCTCTTGTTCCGTGGCTGAGAGGCTTGCTATCATTCGCTCCATTGTTCTCTCGACATCGATTTTCTCAGAACTTGACAACACCGGGTACCTTAGGCCGCTGCAAGCGTAGCAAAATAACGGAAGCCAGAGCACTAACAATCTGTATTGGACTTGTGTATGAACCTTGAATTCTGCTCGAGCTATGTCTCCCAATAATGAAGCTGCACGTACAATAACATACAAGTTCGAACATTATTATGAAATACTCGAGTATATGATAATCACTATGTACATACATATGAACGCGTGGAACAATTTGTTATTGTTAATACTGCACATACTGATTAGAGCGTAGTAAAATAAAATTGATTTAGGGAAAATCACCCGAAATTTTAATGAGAAGAGCTTGGACCCTAGGATTGGCATTGAGAGAAAGGGAAGCCAAGTTGGAAGCAAGGCTCCATTGTACTAAGGCCTCATCAACCGCGAAACATGCCCTAAGTTTGTGAATAATCCACAACAACTCTTGTGCTAGCTTCTCTGCTCCCACGACCTCTACACTTTGATCACTCCCAACAAATTCACCATCGTCGTTCATCATGCACCGCCTCGTCTTTTGGAGCTGCCACATGGACTGCAAATGTGGAAAAACAACACTTATGCCACCCTTCATGTAGGCTGAGATGTACGTTCCTAAGGGAAGTTTACGTATCGTACATAAGGTCCATGGATCACCTCACTCGAAAATCTTCCCCAACCCCTCGTCAGAATTCACTGCCCTTGTTTGCACCTCCCTCACCCCTTGCCGGAGGTTGTCGCACCTCGCTCATCCCTCGAAAACCTTCCCCGACCCCTCGTTGGCCATCGCTTCCCCTGTTACGATTGAACAAAGTTCGAATAGAAGAAAAATTAGGGTATTGATGATTGGGGTTTTCTGAGGAGGGGAGATACTTTCGGGGGAGGGGAGGTGCGACGGGCTCCGGGGGATTCCAACAAGGTGATGGTTGGGCAGTGGGGTGGCTGGAGAAGTGAGAAAGTGAAGGAAAAAGGCGTGTGTGGTGGTGTTGGTGGTGGTGCTATGGTGGGGGTGATTTCCCTTATATTTTTAAAACAAACAACACACTACATGGAATGGTTTTTCATTCCATTCTCTTTCATTCCCTTTATTCATTCCATTCCGATTCCCCTACGCGAACCAAACGGCCCCTTAACTCTTATGTATGGAATCAAAATTTATTTATTTTTCCTTCAATTATTATTTCAAAATCAAGGCTAAGTATCAATACATAGTGTTCAATCAAATTAAAAAACACATTAATAGTGTGTAAATTGAATTAGTATTGTGATAACTAATTCATATGAAGTCTGATTTATTATATTGTCGATATTGTCATATTGGACTCTTGGTTTTGGTTTTGGTTCTTGCTACCTAGTACCAAGAAGGAAGGTATACCGCTATATTTGTTTGCATGAAAGCCATGTGTTATACGTATAACTACATAAATTTACTCCAGCACTTGTACTAGACGACACAAGATATTTGTCTTTGCCACGTGACTATATTGCAAAGCCACGTGACCTCAAATACAATTCCTTCCACTTGAATGGAAGGTACTATAATTTGTCTTCTTGTTGCCCCGTATACCCAGGCCACAAATCAACAAAATAGATTACTTCACTTTTCCATTTCCTCTTCATACATGTGTTAAACCGACTCTTTCATATTTTGGATTTTCTATTTCTATTATTTACCATGTTATAAAATATTAACTTAAGAATAATTATACTAAAACTTTCTCACTTTCTTAAAATGAAATATTGCAAATGAAACAAACATATGCAATGAAATGGTTAAGAGTATCAAAAACTTAAAGTCAAAATATCCGATCATTAGTTAAACAGACACTTACATAATCAACACGTAATCTACCGATTATTAACCAATTGAACAGACAATAAGCAAGCTAAATAATAGACATATTTTTGTCCTACAATATTAAATTAAGAATGAGATATTATACTAGGACATCTCCCTAACATTAAACAACACAAAATTGAACTTTTCGTGCATGCCTTACAACAACAACAATCTCCACTACACTACTATAGCTAGGTCATGCAATTTCTACTTTTACATCAATATTTGCATAATATCTACGAAGTATAATAAATGTAAAGGAATAAAAGGATCAAACTATATATTGTTGTTGGCCAGAATAAAATCAATAAATAAAATATTATGTTTAAGTCCAAAAAAATAATACGGAGTAAATTAAGTTGCGCATTGAAAATTGAGTTTAATTTAACAGGCAAAAATTCAACATATATCATCTTACTTAATTACTTCGTATATAAGTTAAGTTTAGCAAAAATAAGACGAGAGATAGATGAACATATGAACATGGCCTTACATGGGAGAGTGCTCTACCAAGGGCTTCAACAGACAATCCAGCTTGAAGATGATGATCGCCACCCTCCATTAAGAAGCCATCATGAGAAATCAAGTCTAGATTCTGAACAGGAGAATACGACACCGATGTCGAATTCAACAACGATCCATCACCATTATTGCCATCTCCATGATCAACAACCATAACATTACTACTACTTGTAATTTTAAGATGATTAAGAGATGATGATAGTGAGGAAGAAGTAGGTATAACATCAGAGACAAGACGAAGGGCCCACATAGTGAACCAAGTGAAAAGCAAAGACATAAACCTCAAATGATCCTTAACCTTCCACTTATTATTATTATTACTATTATTAGTAAAAGAAGGTGAAGAAAAATCTAAGGCATAATTGTTGGAAACCACAGATAAAAGCATCTTAGAGGCTTTGTTAACGGTTGACATGAATATGAAATTTAGTAAATTGGTGGGTTCTTGCTTCTTTTGTAACATCATCTTATAGTTATAACTATTATTCTTTTTGTATGCCATAATAATTAATCTCTCTCTTTTTTTTTTTTTTGAATTTTGGTAATATATATATGGTAAAGGCTTAAGGATGGTTTGTATCAAAAGAGGAATTGAAGGATGTTGTACTGGAGCATCGGGTGAATGGGTGATATTTATATAATACTTGTATGTGGTAGCTTAGTCTTCTTAAGTCGGTTCACTTAATTGGCCATATGTACGGCAGGGTGGAGCCAAAAGTACTTTTGTAATTGGTTTGGTCAAAGTTTTGTTTCGTTTGTTGGCACCGTTTGATTTGCTATGTAAAACATTTTCAATGAAAATTTAATTTTTTATAAAATAATATATTTAAGAAAATATATAATTATGAATTAAATTTTTCTTTATATGATTGCATATAAGAAAAGTTAAAAAAATAAAAATGTAAGAATGGATGAGAGGAATGTAAAAAGGAGGGAGGAAAATGTGACTTTTTACAAAGGAAAATGTTTTCCATCATTAAGGATGTAATTTTCAACCATTGGGAAAATTGTTTTCCACCCCTTCACAAACCAAATAAAGGAAAATGAGAAAAAATATAGGAAAATCATTTTCCATGAAAACATTTTACATCAAACCTAATGGAGCCTAACTCAAGGTCAAGTTTAAATTACATTTTGAATGTAAAACGAGTTAAAGGGGTTGCTCAGCGTAAAGATTCGTGAAAAAAAGTCAAGTGGGTTTTTTTTATTTTATTTTAAATCTCATGAGTAAGTTGATTCATTAACAAAAATTTTCTATGTTATTGTGTGATACTCCCTTTGTCCGATAATAAAATGCCTATTGTAATTTAATTGTATGGTTAAACTTTTTTTTTTCTTTTTACCACATTCTTATTAAGTCATCAATATATATTTTATATAAAATTTTATTCATGTGAGATATCCTTAAATTCGTTTCAATATGTAATCTTAAAGTATCAATTTTTTATAACTTTTGTTAATGTGTAATTAAAGATATTATTGGTAATAGACACATCTTAAACACCGTATAATATGAAATAAGTAATATTTTATGTGACGAAGGAGGTAATTCTCAATGAGATATTTTTTTCATTATAGTTGGTGGATAGCAGAATATTATTTTATGAGTAGCTCGTTGGCTGACTCATGCCATCTATGAAAATATAAATAAACGTGTTATGCCTTAGATTTGAGTCAACCAAGTATTGACTAGGAAGAAGATTTTCCTCAAGGATAGCTAACATTTTATATGCTACGACTTACGAAGCAATGTGCACCCAAGAGGTGACGACGCTTTAATTTCCTCCATATTGATTATTGAATATCTTATACCCCATACGAATTACAAATGTTAAAACCCGGATCGGATATCTTGTTTTGCTTAGCCCATAAATTTTGACATGGTTATCAAGTTGAAAAGGCGGTAGTAGGCTAGTCTCAATTCCTCAAACACCACGGTGGGCTTACATGACAAGCTGTGATCGGGCTGAACAACCTGTACTTTACAAAAAAAAACTCCAAAAAAAATATTGGAAAAATTGTGCGGAATAATCCCACCTTTGGGGCGTCCGCTAAAAATAATCCACTTTTGGGTTATTTTTTAATAATCTGACCTTTGTATTCAATCCGCTCAAAATGGTCCCGAGTGACCTGTAACCGGTTGAGTAAGTAATTTTTTTTATTAAGTTTAATTTACACGTGTCACAACTTGATTTGTCCAAAATTAAAAAAATAATAATAATAATAAAAAAAACCACCATCACCTAAGCCACACCACTTCAGCCACCACCATCCCCACCACCACCACCCAAACCCAGACCCAAGAACCACCACCCCACCCAGACCTGAAACCATAGCCACCCAGAAACTGACCGGAATCCCACCGCAGCCAACCCAACTCAGGCAGGGGAGGTCAGCCCGACCAGAATCGAGGTCGGGGGAGGATGGCGCGGTCGGAAATGGGGACAGGGAAGGTCAGCGCAGTCGGAATCGGGGGACGAGGGAGGTCAGCGCGGCCGAAAAAGGGATAGGGGAATGGGAGGGGGGCTGGGATCGGGATGGGAAATGGATTTTCGAGGTTAGGGAATGCCAGGATGCTTTTCGATGCCTGGGTTTTCGTGGGGGAGGGAGGGAAGGGGTTGGTGGTTCAAGGGAGGGGGGGTCGATCGCGCCCCGAAGCCGGCGTGGCAGGGGACTCAGGCGGCGGGGACGACGGTGGCTTGGGCGGTGGGTGGTTTTTTTAATATTAATTTTTTATTTTTTCTTTATAAAATTTACTTTATTTTTTTTTGTATTAATCATAGGCCGCCACCACATGTCTGGTAACTTGTTATAACAAGTTGCATGACCGGTTGGGACCATTTTGAGTTAATTGATTATTTTTACCGAACGCCCCAAAGATGAGATTATTGCGGGCAATTTTTTGAAATAAACCAAATTGAAAACCCTAAATCCCCCGGATACGTATTAGAATTGGCGCCAAAACCGCCATTAACACCTAATTTCTCTCTCCTCATTTCTCGACATTTTAGGGCGGTTTAATTAATTAGCCCATATTCAATTAAACTGGGTTTTAATCATCTCGGAAAAAGAAAAGACAAAGTCCTTAAATTTCTTCGTTTTTTCATTTCAAATTTCTCATTTGTATTTGCATTGAGAGAAAGAAGAGGTGCTGAAGTGGTGATTTTTCTGCAAACATGGCTTTTTGGGGTCAGTTTTTCTTATTTTCTCTCTTGTTTTTTTGTTCAATTGTACCTTAATTGTAATTATAGTTCGCTATCTTATAACCTATGTCACGAAATGGGGTTTTTCTGGTTGAATTTTTTTGGATAGATTTATGGGGTTTTGCCTGTTTTGTGATTGATTTTAGGATTACAATTATGTTTTTGAAAATGGGGTTTTTCTAATTGTAAATTTACTAAGGATTTGGATTAAATTAATGGGTATTTGTTTTTTTTTTTTTTGGTTAACAATTAATGGATATTTGTTTAAATTGTGATTATTTGTAGGAGTTGAAATTAAACCAGGAAAGCCATTTACTCTTTCACCTAACCAATCATGCGGAAAACTCCGTATTTCCCAGGTAATTTCTTCTTAAGTTCTTACCTGATTAAGAATTTGAAGTGTTGCAAATATAATCAAACTTTTAAAATATTATTATTATTATTATTTTTTTTTTTTTTTGGTACTGTAGGCTACACTAGGAATGGGTGCTTCAAACAACAAGAGTTATGTTCAGTGCAATGTTGGCAAGAAGACTCCTGTTATGTTGTGTGTTTTATTGCCTGATAAAGCTGAGTACCTTCATTTGGAATCGGAGTTTGATGAGGCTGAAGAAGTCACTTTATCTGTTGTTGGTCCTCGTAGTGTCTACCTTACTGGATACTTTGTAGGCAATGCTCGACGTAATTTGGCCGGGGTCCCCGGGGATGATGAGTCGTATCCTTTTTCAAACTAATCATTTGAAACTCATTGTTTCATCATACATTTAGTTTGTTTTTCATCATGCACATATTGATGTGTTTCTATTCTATTTGATGCCAAAATGACACAAGCTTTGCAAAAGTAACCTGGTTTTTTGCTTTACAGCTATGAGTACTTAAGAAGGGGATGTTAGACATTTAGGCTACTAAAGTTGTTGGCCAAGCATAAAAATTGAGTGTATTGAATTGTGTTAGATTTTATTGTTTCTCATTTGCTCTTTTGCTTTTGAGTAAAATGGGTTGGCAGGACATAGGGCATATGAAATTAGGCTTATTAGCTGATAAAAATTTGACAAATCTACAAATTTTAGTACACTAGAAAGTCTAATGGTTGCTGATGTGACCCATTTATTGTGCTAATTAGGCCCTTAAAGCTAATTTATGCTTGAAGATGTTGATTTCCCAAAATGTTGATTCTTATCTTTTAGCTTCGAGTTTATTAATCGTGTAAATAGTTCATTCATTAACAGAATTTGAAGGCTTAACCTGAAAATAGTTATTTTTTGCTTTGGACTTCTTGGTGGTGTCTCAAGAGTCAGGAGTAGTTACTCTGTTATATGATTTTGTAAAGCTGTAGCATTATGAGAAACAAGGCTCTCTGTTATTGTAGGGTAATGCTATGTCCTTACTTCCCTCACCCGCTAGGGAATGCACATTGTATATATTATAATTGGACAGCGTTTATGCTCAAAGTGTATCAAATTTGGCTTAAGAACCAATTTTATAGAGCTTCTAGGTTTATTTGCTCTACATTTAAGATTTATTTAACTATTATGTTTCATATATTATTGATTTCTATCAGGAAATAGTCTGAAATAATGCTGGTGATAACAAGTCCTGCTATGTATCCATGAATCAGTGCTGCTTCTGTACAGATTGAGAGAAAATGCTTCTCATGAACTATAATGTAGCTATCAAATGCAGGAAGAGATGTTGGTGCCAATTGACCTGTGCATGCAACACCTTTTCTTTCTCTTTAATGCTTTTAATATATGTTTTCTATTAACGGCATTGTAAGTGAATCATACGGAGAAGATGTTGGAGAGACGGACACAGAAGATCTTAATGCAGATGATGACTATGAAGAGGATAGCTTCATTAATGATAGTGATCCAGAAGTCTTTGCTCCATCACCTTTGTCTAGTAATGAATGTATGTTCTTTGATGTGCTCATTCTGTATGGTGTAATGTATTCCATTCTTAATACTTCTAATTTGAGGATACTATGTCATTTCACCCATGGCTCCTTTATATACATGGATTAGGAATCCTTTATATTTATTTGAACTATTTTTATGTATGAGATATTTGGTGCACTTTGAGGCCATCATGGTACTCATGAACCATTCTGCAAGATGAATGAGATACACGTTCCTGTTATCCCTGTCCCTTGAAGTGAGCTGCATCCTGATTCTTGAATTTGAACAATGCTTGGACTATTCTGTTCAGTTTTGTTTGGCATGCTGGATGGTAATCAACTTTGATTTTGTTTGCACATTCAGTTATACTTTGTTTGGATAGAGAGAAATGGAGGGAAAAGAAGAGAAGACAAAGGAGGAATGCATCATCCATTGTTTGGATATCTAATGCAAGGAGGGAAGGGGAGAGAAATGGAAGGATCCATTTTCCTTCCCCTCTTAATAAACTAAATCCCTCCATTTTTGGAGAGATTTGAAAGGAAAATGGAATGTCACCTTCTCCCTCCTCTCACCTCCCTTTCCTCTTCCCTCTTTTTCCTTCCCCTCTCTTTCCCTTCACTATAGTTATCCAAACATAGTGTTAGTTTTATTTGGTATGGGCATGCATAAAATGCTTCATTTACCCTATTTGTGGAATGACTCAAAGCACACTCACGCATATGCATGCCCACATGCGGAGATAAACTTGTTTTGTTCTGTGCACTTGTTTAATTTGAGTCTTTATCTGTTCTGTCACTGAAATGCTTTTGATTTTACTTGGTTTCTATATGATATAGGTCATGGTTTATTTCTAGGTTAAAAGAGAATAGATGATTTTGATTTTTGTTACCCTGTAGTAAAACAGAAGAAAGCTGGGACCAAAAAGAGCAGCCGAAAGCGCCTTAAAAAGTCGTATATGTTGAGTGAATCTGAAGATGATGGTGCTATTTCGCAACAGAATACTTCCAGTGATCCTATTTGTGAGCAAATGGTTGAGAGCGAGAAGGAAGATCAGATGCCTATCTCTTCACTGTGGGGAAATTCTGAAATGGGTGATGAAGATTCAAAAAGGTTAAATAAGCTTTATTTTCCAGTACCAGAATACACAAGTCCATTAGTAGGCTTGATTATGAGATCTTGACTAGTTTGTTTTCTCTATGATGGTTTTAGAGTTTCGTATTCACTAATGTTTAGAGATAGTAAGCTTATACTTATAACGATGTTTCCCAGCCTCTACATTTATTTTAAAATTTGTGTTGGAGTCTCAACACTCCCACATTTCCATATGGAATACCAACCTTAATTGACAGTTTAAATTTTAATTGGACACATCATTGTGCTGTTAGTGTTGTACTTAGAGGAAGTTATGTAAATAATGTTTGCAGATAAGCATGAAAACTTGATCACAAAAACTTGAGTCACGAAACCTTGAACATGTGAAGGGACATGAAAATGTTGTAATGTTATGAGATCCATAAAATTAAAATGAATACTTAAATTTTTTTTTTTTTAAAAACCTAGAAAATATGATCATATATTCATATAATAACTGCAATTTGTTTGTATATGCCTATTGTTTAGTAAATGAAAAATAGCTCATCACTGCATATCATTGCCTGCTCCCACGGCTTTAGATTGCTGAAAAGTCCAGAATTTACTCTTTAGCTTTTGGTTCACCTTTGTTTCTCCAAATTTGGGTTACTAGTTGGCAAGGGCGCAAGGCTACACATTTCTAGTTTTTTTTGTCTTCTTTCTCAGATTAATTGTGGCATGAAAGATCTTATGTACTTCCTTTTACATGCTTGGCTTTTGCTTGTGGTCTTTTATAGATGTCTCAGATGTGATTTTAATAAGATTATGAACTTGTCTTTACGCAGAAAGAGGTGTGTTTCTGGAAATACAACTGATGATCACCAAACTGAAGATAAAAAGGTTAAGAAGAAGAAGAGAAAGAATAGAAAAGAAACTGGAGCCTTAAACCTTTCAAGCCCACCTAAAAATGAGACTGACCCCATGACAGAGACTGGTGGGAAAAAAAATTGCAATACAACGACAATATCAGGCGGCTTGATTGTTGAGGAACTTGAGGCTGGTGAAGATGGAAAAGTGGCTTCCACGGGAAAAAAGGTAAGTCTGATGACCATTTGCTGATTTTTTATCATTTAGTGTGGCAGCTTTGGATTAATTACTGACTTTCTACTGATTTCAGGTCTCTATTCATTATACTGGTAAACTGAAGAAAGGGAACCAGATTTTTGACTCAAGTGCTGGAAAAGATCCTCTCAAATTTCGCCTTGGTATGCTATACATATGTGAGCTCATTTCCTTAACAGTCTCAATTTCTAACACTTGCCAATGTTTTCCAGGTAAAGGTCGTGTTATGGATGGGCTTGAGCTTGGATTAGAAGGTAATACGACCTGTCCACAGTGCATAACAGTCATTGTGCTTATATATGTATATAATTCAATAACTCCAAATATTTCAAAATGTTTTTCTATACGTTCCTTTAACATAGTTGAAAACAGCTCCTCAAAATGACCAAATTGTGCTGGTATTTGATTAGTGTTCCATTAAGTGTCATACATTTATACTGTACTTCTAGTTAAAGGAAAGTAACTAAGGATGAATTTGTCACTTACGCTTTGCAGGAATGCGTGTTGGTGGTAAGAGAAGGCTTCAAATACCGCCTGAATTGGGGTAATGTTTCTTATACTGTGATTTTTATATCCATATGCAAGTTCTTTGGGGTATCTTTCAAATTGTTTTGCATGATGTACTTATTGTTTAATCTGTTTCTGGCATATCTTTGCAGATACGGAAGTGAGGGCACGAGTCTTGTACCCCCAAATTCATGGTTAATAATGGATGTTGAATTGGTTCGTGTTCGCTAATAGGCTATTGAGTTGGTCAGTACACATTTACCTGTTTGGTTAACTACTGCTACTTTATCATACTTATACAGTAATTGAGTACTTTCTTATTATGCTTAACAGGTTGGATATGGCAATCTTTGTTTACATCACGAGACTGCTGAGACTCATGACTTCATGAGAGGATGCATCAGTTTTGGGGGTTATATGTTCTGTACATGTCTTACAAGGGGCAATTTTTGTGGCAATTATTTTCCGACCTACTATGTCTCATTGGTTTTGGAATAATAGAATGAGTCCTTTTATACGTATTTAGTGAACAAGATGACTACTACCAACATTTTGTTTGGGTTACATGTAAATGGATTTGTTCAGTTTCTTGCAAATGCAGTAATCCTTATTCTCATATCTGATTTCGTATCAATTAAATTTATGTCAACTAAACGACCATGGGTACGAAACTAGAAGTGTCAATGGAACCTTGCATCAAAGTGTGGCAAGGCCGCAAGGGTGAGGAAATCGAACTCTGGATTTTAAGATTTTTTTTTCAGTGTTTTTTCTTGGAGATGGGTAAAGAAAATGTTGCATTCATTGATTAATGGGATTTTTGGTATCTTATCCTAAGGTTGCATCTTCTGCCCTCTCTTTGGCAAGCAAAAAGAGTGCTGCTGTTTGGAGCAGCAGCATCAGCTTTTTAAAACAGCAGGATGTTTTTAGTGAACATCCAAGCATGGTTACGGCGGACACAGGGGCAAGTATGAGCAGCATTTAGCGAGTGGCGGTATTTGGTGTGGAGTTACATACTTACATGCTGAGGCTTTTGAGCAATGTACTTGTATAAAATTTTACCGTTTCTGTTGAACCAAGAAAAATGAAATTTGTTGTTGGAAGATATGGGCAACCTAATAGTTATAGGAATTATTTACAAAGTGTAGCGCTATTTGACGCCCACACTTACTTTTAAATGCCCATAGGGTGCTTAATGATGCTTCTATCCTTGCTAACCTCGACTCCGCCTTACCCCTTTACACACTATTCACATCTCTCATCTCTCCTCCAAGTCAACATTACCAAACACAACCATGTTAGCCTTTGCTATAGGTGGCTAACCATCGTAACGTAGCCAAAGTTCAGCCTCCAAACTCGTTAACCTTCTGTCAAAGTCAAACGAGCGCTACTGCCCATCTCTTACGCTCCTCATCAATAAACCATCTGGCCACTGAGTAGGTTCGTTGGCTCGTCGCAGTTGCCTCTCAAAAGGGCGAGGAGAGCTGCGTCCTTCCCTAGAAATAATCTGAAAGAGTTAAAGAGAGCCAAGAATTATTGTTGTAAATAAAAGAAAAAAAAATGCGGTGAGCGTGGATCGAACACGCGACCTTCAGATCTTCAGTCTGACGCTCTCCCAACTGAGCTATCCCCGCAATTTGAAATTAAATATTAAATTAAAATTATAAAGTTTAAAGATTTGTGAATGCTTAACTTGGAAAAAATAAAGGCTAAGGTTGCTGCATTGATGGTTTATCAACTTTGAATTTGCATACCCCAAGTACCAACATAGGATTATCACACCACAACCCAGCACAACATGGTGTGGCGACGTTGCAACCTTGGCCTACATTCTTGCAAGTAAGCGCACCACCATTGCTTTTGTCAGCCGCGGCTGCAGCAGCAGCAGCAGCAGCAAATTCCATAAACTGTCCAAAGGGAATATCGTAATAAAGGGTAGCAGTTATCGACAATCGAACCAACTGGCCTTGACCCAACTCACCCAAGCCGGGTTCATTAGCCATGGTTGTCGGCCTTGTTGCAACTGCAAGAGCAACTACTAGCAGGATCATGCTCGCTTTCTTGATCATCTCCATCTTACTCCTCACTAAAGAAACAAACTCTCCCTTAACACTATATAGTTGTTATCAGGTTATAATTGTGAGTGTTGTTAGTAAACCTCCCTTCTATTTTTATAGAGGCGAATCGTGAATGTACATGATAGAGAATATATGCTACGTATATTCTCTTCTTAGATTTAGGATAATTTATGACGTTACTCCGTATTAGTACTTACATGATTATAACACATTTACAATAGATAAAAAAAACATGGTTTACATACATATGCATAATGACAACATGATGAATCTGATGATGCTATTGTTTACCAGACAATGTACAATTGATTATTGATTATTAGAGAAACATTGAAAGCGAGTAAAATTATCGTTGGTTGGAATTCACTATACTAAGAATCATTGGTACTTCCAAAACTGCAATTTTGGGGTTTGACTATATCCGAGGAAGCTTCCATCAAAACGTATCATTCACAATTCTTTTTTATTTTTATTTTAATTAGAATTAGGAAAATGTTTTAACAAGTGTTGTGTAGGCACATAATTGTATCTTATTAAAATTAAATGGTTAGAGTTATGTGTTGGCAAATACACTGCATTTGACTGTTACATTAAAAAGAAAGAGTTGTGGAATATTATCAGTGAAGATAATAATATGAACTTTATGACTAGTAAATGATTCATTTTTATTCGGATGGAGTATACAAAGTAAGGTCATCTATCGTAAATTTCTTAATTGTCCAAGTGACTAAATGCAAACTTGGAGTTAAATTTGTTTTATCTTCAAAAGACAAATAATAATTTGCATAGAAATTTCCTAGAAAGTTCATGTCTTACATCATTAATAAATAATGGTACAACACATCCTTGAATACCAATATATCATAACCATTACTTTAATATCGTTCATCTATCAATTAAGTTCCAAAATAACTTAAACGAATTACATGGTACGACAAATCTAATGAATCTAATGGTCATAGACATATTTGTTTTTGTTTTTTTTTTTGTTTTATATATTTTTTTTTTTTTTTAGTTTTGACAGGAAATAGGATTTCATTGATAAAATATAGCTAAACGACACTTTACAATGCAAATAATTCTTAAGAAATCTAAACTCCCAACAAAAAATATATCACCATAAAACAAAATACACTGTAGATTCGATCAACAATAGTCTTAATAAAAAACTTCTTCTAAAGCAATACAATCTGTGAGTTAGCACTAATTCGGCTTAAGATCCACTGATGCATAGTCGTATGGATGAAAATACCTGTGTGGTACTCTAGATACTTAGAGAGATTATGAAACCCTAAATCTTAATTCCTTTCCGGACGAACAATCACTGAAATTAATCTTCCAAGCAAACTGCTACTGATTAGGGGATTTTTCCCCACCAATCACCATCTGACAAGTGGACCAACCAGGTTCCGCCATGTGTCCGTCACATGGGCCGATAGGAGCCTGCCACGTGTCAAGCAATGATCCGTCCACTATGGACAAATTACGACACGACACGTGTCCTTCCCATGACACCTGGGATAACCGGTCACCTAGGCCCAACTTCCGTGGGAAGCCCAATCAGCCCAAGGTTAACCTAAACCTAGATTGGCATGTTTCCCGAGGTTATAAATACCTCCCTTAATCCTCATTAAGGGAGATTACGCAGATTACACACATTAAACTCTCTCACCTAGAGAGACCCAATCACTTTAATTTCCGCATTAATTACTCCTTAATCAAGTACTAACTTGACCGTCGGAGGCGGATCTCCAATCATCCGGAGCATCCGTTTGTTTTGCAGGTACAGGCGCCCGGTTCCAGTCTCGGAATTGTAACTCTCCCGCAGGACATCAGAAAACCCCGAAACATCTTGGCGCCGTCTGTGGGGAGAGTACTTCTGAGATGGCATCCACGTTTGTACCGGCTCCTGAAGAGAGACGTCCCCTGGACGACCCTCTAGTTCAGTCGGACCACGATACTGAGAATGAATTTGAAGTTGAAGCTCACACAGCTTCAGACGGGACCCTAAGGGCCCGACGTACCCGTCATACCGAAAGGAGGGAACGGGAACATCTTCATACAGGAAGCGAGCCAGCAGGCGCACCGCCTGTTCGGCAGCAGCCGACTGATGGGTCTGCTCCCATCACAAGGAACGAACTCATGACCTTCATGAGGGACTTCAAGGGAGAAATTCAAGAGTTGATCAACAAGAAGCCGCCTGCTCTGGACAAGGAGCAGTCGGCTAAGAAACCCTCCACTTCACGGAAGAGGAAGCCAGTTCAAGGGCGAGAGGCGACCCCTCATCCTAAATCTAGGAAGTGGGAGCCACCTGCCCTTGATTTCACAAAATACCGTTTTCCTACTCCAGGAAATAGGAAACCTGTTCGTCATATTCAGGCGGACGGGTCGAGGAAAACATACACAGACGCTCGGCTACTGCTAGAGCAGAAGAAGAGTGACCGATTGTCAGAGTCGGCCTCTACTTCAAACTTCCAAGACAGTCTGCGAAATACCTCGATGAGGCATACTCAGTCGTATCATGAGAGTCAGTCAGGCGGCACCTCCCGTCAGTCCGGCTATCATAGCGACCAGGCGGTACCAAACTTACCGTTTGTACCGCAACAACAGTATTTTTTACAGCCACCTCCGTTTGGTGGACATGCAGCAAAAAATGTCCAACCTATGGACTGGCAGCTACGGTTGCTTAGACTTGGTGAACAGCCGTCGGCCTTCTCCAAGGCAATTACTGAAGCCGCTCAGCCGGCCAGAGTGAAAAATGTATTAGTAGGCACCTATGACGGCACTACTAACCCAGAAGACCATCTGATGGCATTCACCAACCTGATGTACCTTCAAGGGTTGGATGATCCCACTTGGTGCAAGTGTTTCCCAGCGACTCTCAAAGGAATCGCACAACAATGGTTCGGCAACCTGCCGACTGGTTGTGTAAATAACTTCAAGACGCTTGCTTACTTATTCACCTCCAACTTCGCCATGAACATCCCTGCGAAGAAGACGACCCTTGATTTAGGAACAATTCAGCAGGGCGAGAAGGAGGGGCTTCGTTCTTACATCAGGAGGTTTAACCTGATGAGAATACAGATTCAAGGGTTACCGGATGAAGTAGCCTATACTGAATTTTTCAGAGGTCTCAAAGACGGGTCGACCTTCAAATTTGATTTGGTCCGAAAGAGGGTGGCGACTCTTCAAGAGGCCTTGATTGAAGCGGAAGCCTATATACAGGCGACTGATCTTTGTAGTACGGTAAAACAGTCAGACAGGAAAAGGTCCGACAAAAGAGAAGGACGACAGAAACAGTCGTCAAACAAAGACAAGAAGAGAAAAGAGGTCTGGGCGGCTGATTCCTCTAAACAGCCGGCCCAGAAAAAGAAAAAAGAATTCAAACCATACTCCCCAAAGTATGCGTTTAACAAGGATAGCCAATTTATCCTAAAGGAAATCAAGGGACGGATCTCAATTGAGAAGCCGGTCCCCATGAAGGGTTCTGTAAACAACCGGAACCAAGAAAAATTATGTGATTATCATGAAGATGTTGGTCATCACACCAATGAATGCATCAGTCTCATGCGGTATCTGGACCGCCTGGCTGAGCAAGGTGATCTTGACACTTATGTCAAGAAATCTACGGGGAACACTTCCTCGAAAAAGCAGTTGGCCAAAAAGAATCAACAGGCCGACAGCTCCGATACAGATGATGCAGTCGTCTACACCATTGCAGGAGGCTTCTCAGGAGGCGGCCCCACTATTAGGGGCAACAAAGACAATATCCGACGGTTAAATGTAAATTCCGTTCACCAAGAACGACCCTCCAAATATTCATTTCCTGAGATTGTCATCACTGAAGAAGATCTAGGAGGGGTAAGAGGGCCGCATGACGACCCTACCGTTATCGAATGTAAAGTGGCCAACCAGAGAGTTGGCCGAATCCTCATAGATACCGGAAGCTCCTCAGATCTAATCAGTAGCAAATGTCTGTCGAAACTAAAATATCAGACTGATTGCATACATCCGGCATCCCACCCTTTAGTAGGGTTTGGAGGAGGAATCGTCCACCCAGTGGGACGAGTGGATTTACCCATCCGCCTGGGCGAAAAAGGGGAAGGACGACACATGGTAGTCCGGTTCCTGGTAGTAGAAGAACTCTCGGCCTACAACATGATTCTGGGACGACCAACCCTGAATAATTCCAAGGCTGTTATAATCCCATCTCTTATGTTGCTCAAGTTTGAGAGGGATAATGGAACAGTCGGGTCCCTAAGGGGAGATCAGAGGAAGGCCCGAGAGTGCTATCTCTCGGATGTCAAGCCCACTGTTATGGCCACTAGGTCGAGTGGTGGAAAAATAGACCTTGACAATGTCAAGGAGAGTGCGCCTGTTCAAGAAGCAGGCGGCAAGAAGAGAAAGGCATCCCAGACAGGGGCCGCGAGAAAAGACAGAAAATAGCAATCATTAGCAGAGGAGCGGTCGGATGAATTCCGCCCTCAGCCAGCTGGTGAGCATACGGACCTGATGTTAGATGACTCGCGTCCTGACAGAACAATCAAGGTTGGGACGACTGCTCTAAGGGACCTGGGTGACGACTTTCACAAACTATTGAAATAATACAAGGACATCTTTGCATTCGAAGTCCATGAAATGCCAGGCATTAGTCCTGATCTGGCGGTACATAAACTGGACGTGGATCCGAAAAAGAAGCCGGTACGGCAGAAGAAGCGGAACCATGGCGAAGAAAGAAGTCAGGCGGCAGCCGCCGAAGTTAAAAAATTACTTGATGCAGGGTTCATTCGGCAATGTTATTTCCCATACTAGGTTGCAAATGTGGTGCTTGTTAAAAAGCCGAATGGCACCTGGCGAATGTGTGTAGACTACACAGACTTAAACAAGACGTGCCCCAAAGACAGTTACCCTCTGCCTAAAATTGATAACCTGGTCAACTCAACAGCCGGCCATGCTTTGATGAGCTTTATGGACGCCTACTCTAGTTTCCATCAAATTCCTTTATGGAAGAAAGATCAGGAGAAGACGGCCTTCGTCACTGATCAGGGGTTATACTGTTACACGGT